CAGCTATCAGTTGAGAAAGTCTCACAGATTTTTCTGCCCAGACTGGTCTTAAACTACAATCCTCAAGTCACTGGGGTTATAGATACGAACCATTGATACCTGAGTAGATTTTTTCTTAACTAGCCACGTTTTGATCAGCAGAATGTCAGTGTCCTCCATTGAGTCTGTAAGGCATGCTAACCATGGCCAGTACCCAGATGGCTAACCATGGCCAGTACCCAAATGATGCAAGATAGGGGTCTCCTCCTCAAACACAGACCGAGCACATGCGTCCTGGAGTCAGAACTTGTTGCCACCTTTTTACAACCACAGTTGTGGACTGTTACATAAACCATTGGGAGAGCATGTTGAAATAATTGTGCTGTTTCTATGAAAATATAAGGACCTCATGAGGAAAGTCTGCAAGGAAAAAAGATCCCCCAAATTTGATGAAGATTGATGGGAACCAGTCATAAGCATTACCAGGTACCACGTTCAGATGACTTTCCAAGTGCCCTCAGCCCTGCAGTCATTGCAAAGACCTCAGAGCTGGAAATGGCAGGCACTTGCTATGGTCAGGTTGAGGCAGAAGGGCAGTATAGGAGTCCCCAAAGCTTCTACTCAGTCCAAAGCACCCTCAGCCCAGTGCTGGGCTGGAAGTGCTGTAAATCAAGGTTGGGTAGGTTTTTTGTTTTGTTGTCAGCCATGGGGCTTGAACTTAGGGCCCGGATGCTGTCCTTGAGCTTCTTTCAGTCAAAGCTAGAGCTCTATCACTTTGAGCCATAACGCCACTTCTGGTTTTCTGGTGGTTAATTGGACATAAGAGTCTCATAGACTTTCCTGCCCAGACTAACTTTGAACCACAGTCCTCAGATCTCAGCCTCCTGAGTAGTAGTATTATAAGCATACGCCACCAGCTCCCAGACACTTGGGTAGTTTTGATTTTGGAAAAATAATCATGTGCTTCTAATCATGGGCAAACATTATTGAACAACTGGCTCTTCCAAACTCTTGTGCTGAAAACTATATAGTATGCGTGTATAGTTCTGTATGAGTCCCCCATTGACCAGCTGAGTGTTTGATGGTCCTCCTAAGATGAGCGGTATGGATGAGTCCTGATCTTGCTTGTAATGGACACACAAAACTCTCAAATCATGTATACATCACCTGCATAAAGTCCCTCCTCCCCTCTGCCCTGGGAAGTACTGGAGGAAGACCCTCCTTCTTCCCTACATTGCTGTATCATCCATTAATCCAACAACGTGCCTTGTCCACTATAGACTCAGTGAATATTTGCCAGATGGAATTGAGTAAGCCTGATCTTCGGGCTTACTGAATGATGAAATGCATCACTGAGGCTTTTGTTTGAACACCTGCAGCTCCCAAGATAGCTGTTCCCTTCCTTTGGAATTGGCCAGCCTTAGGCCAACCTCATATACATCTCTCAGCGACCAAGCACTGACTTGCCCTCCTCAGTCTTGGATGATCACTGTTGGATAAGTATCTTCGACATACCCTAGTTTCTGTCTGCAGCCCAAAGCAATCCAAAACCCATAGATAACTCCTTGTTGCTGTGTCTTCTCAGACATGACCGATTTCCACTGGCTCCTTGGCTTTCATTATTACTCAGTTCCTTGAGGGGCTGCTACTTAGGTCCTCTGGTCTGACTCTGGCCCCCACATACCTCACATATGATGTTTCTTATCCTCATAGCACTTTAATTACCTTGACCTCAGATTGCTGAAATAGCAGAACTAAAACTTCATCCAACTTCTTCTAACCCACTTCTGTGCTTCAAAGATAAAGGTGAAGGTTAAAATGGGTGAGGAGTGTGATCACAGTCTCCAGTTGCGGGGGGTGGAGGGGTGACGATATGACTCTGATTATTGCTGCTCCAACTCCTGTTCCTCACCCAGTGACTGGCCCCCAGTGGCTCTCACCCACTGCACTCACAATATAGCCTTTGTCTGTGTCTGTCCACAGGACACTTTGAAAACACCCAGGAAGGAGAGGCCTCCTTATGCCTGCACTTGCTGGAGAGAGATGCTTGTCATCATTGGGATCAGTCAAGGCCTGAGTACAAGTGTTTGGGGTGGGAAGTCATAACCACAGGAGACCCTGAGGAACCATGTTCATTCACAGTCACATTTCCTGTCTCACCGTAATTTCCCCCCTTTGCCTCTCCTTCCATCCAACCTGCTCTGGAACACCCATTCTCCCCACTCTGGTTACCCCTACTCCTGGGTTTTCCAACCTGGCCCAGCTTCCCCGCTACTTTGTATTGATTCTTCTGCCTGTTCTTAGTAAGGCGCAGAAGCCATTCTGAGGTGGTAGATATGGCTGTAACCACTGGCAACCGCCACCCGCCCTCCAAATCCAGGAAAAAGCCACATGTTGGGAGGAGAGGTGTGGAAGCCACCTTGGTCTTAGATTCCAGCATAAACACAACCTCCAACTCCAGGGTCCCTACCCACATACAGACACCGGCTTCGCTGAGCCTGCCCCCTACTGGCCAGATAGCTGTTTTGCAAAGCTAGAAACACTCTGTTCTACTTAATAACTGCCTGGTAATTAGCTCCAGGATTTTGCCACTATGCTTATAATAGCCTCCATTAAAGTTATGGGATTCTCAAGCTGTAATGGCTTCCAGAGTAATTAATGCACAACTGGGTTTATTGCTAAGTTTATTTTTAGAGCTTTTTCACCCTCACTCCCCTCACTTTCATCTCATAGATATTTTGACCAAAAACATGGATGGGCTCAGATACTCACCATGGCCCCCTTCCACCATGTCCCATCTGCCCTTTGTCCGTTCCTTCTCATTCTTTCTGCTTCAGTATCCAGCAGATGCTGGTACCCATGATGTAGGCAGCTATGGCAGAAGATGGCCTTTCAAGTGGTGTTTGTTTGGGCCAGAAAAAGATTTGGGCCTGTGTACATCCCTCAACCCACTTGTGCCTTGCCCAGAGACCTCCCCTGCTCTGTCTTGTTGAAAGCACAGAGTGATGCCACTTCCATACAGCTCTGATTCCACTATGTGCTAATCATTGACCTGAGGCAAATTATTTAGCCCCCTGGCCTTAGTGCATGCAACTGTAAAACACCAGTACCTGTCACACAGGGTGGCCATGAGTACATCACAGAACCGTATAGTCATCAATGGTGTTGATACCTTTGCGAATACCATGTGTGCTGTAGGAAAGCTGGTAGCCATTAACGACTATCCAGACATACACAGGGAGGCTGAGTAAGCTGTGAGACAGAGCACCTATCCAGAGAGATAGGAGAGAAAGCAAGAAAATACTGCCCCCTGGGCTTGACCTTTGCAGGATAAAAGGATATAGCACTTTCAACTCCTTATTTCTTCCATGTTTCCAACTTGGAATTTGAGAGTACTCTTTCACAAGGTCAGAACACACAAGGAATCTTCCCAGATATTTTCACTCCAGCTAGACCTGGCCTCCCTGTCTTAATCTGTTTTCTGTCATCATAACACAGTATCTGAGGCAAAGTAATTTGTAAAGGAAAAAGTTTATGTGGCTTATGGTACAGGAGGATGGAAAGTCCTGTGGGCCAGCACAGACAAGAAAGAAGAGTATGAAAAGGATGTGGCAATTTCCAAGATGGCCAGGAACCTGCTCTACTGGTCATGAGACTGCACATATACTGGAAGGTGTAAACCCTGGCAGATCTTCCATAGAACGAAGAACTTTGAATTAGGCTGATTCTCCTCAGGGAGTACCTTTCCTGGTGCCGTGAATGCTGACTTCTTTGTCAGTCCTGGGGCTTGAACTCGGAGCCTAGGCACTGTCCCTGAGCTTCTTTGTCTCAAGGCTAGCACTCTACCACTTGAGCCATAGCAGCACCACTTCCAGCTTTTTATGTTTATGTGTTACTGAGAAATCAAACCCGAGGCTTCATGCATGCTAGGCAAGAACTCTACCACTAAGCCACATTCCCAGCCCCAGGATGCTGACATTGTTGAGAAGCATCTCCCTATGACATAGCAGTCCCATGGGTACCACGTCTCCCTGCTGAGGCCCACCCCATCTAATGCTCTTCCTGCAGGTACCCTCAAAGAATTCCCCATAGACATCAGCAGAGAGAGGGTACCTTTGTCTTCTTCTCATAGAGACACTTCTAAAACACTTCTTCCTGTACTAAAAGCACCTGTCCCATGCAACTCTAGCCCTTTATCCAGGCTATGAAGAAAATCCCTGGGTCTAAGTATGTGAGCAGCATTATAGCCAACATTTCGTATGCATTTATATCTGAGGACACCCCTAGACTTTATGGATGTTGACTCATTTCATTCTGAATATAACCTTGGGAAGTAGGTGCCCACTTTTGAAGATGAGAAACTGGTACAGAGTGTTGATATAATTAGGCAAATCTTGCTCACTCAGCTCATGGAGAGTATACTTGGCATTAAAACAATGTGATTGGGATAAAACAAGCCTTGCCAGGTGCCAATGGCACACATCAGTGTCTCCTAGCTACTCAGGAGATTGAGATCTAAGGATCACTGTTTGAAACCAGCTCGAGCAGAAAAATTCATAAAACTCTTCTCAAAATGGAGCTATGACTGAAGTGGTAAAGTGCTAGCCTTGAGGGGAAAAAAAAGCTAAGGGACAGTCCCCAGGCCCTCCTGAGTTTAAGCTCCAGTACTGGCGCATACATACACAAAGGAAAAGAAAAGGCAGATATCGCTGAAGTATGTGCCTTTAAGCTTTGTGCCCTCCTGTAAATGGACCATTGTCCTGTACCTATGCCGGTCAGAGGACACAAGCTCACTCACTCACCCAGCAGATAGACATAAGACATCCCAGAGGAGATGGATACACCACTGAGAAACCCCCAATACCATGCTGTCTGTCCTTGAGCCAGTGACCCTTGCTAGGTGTCCCTCCCAATGCCAGGGTCTCTGGCCATCCTCGTCTGCTGTCTCTTGCAGGTGTCCCCCTCTGAGGGTTGCTGACCCCACCTCTGGACAACCGCACCTTCTGACTCCCTCAGGCCGGATTCTGCAAACCTGCTTCCACAATGGGTGGGTGTGAGAGCTGGTAAGACCTGCTGGCCAGCGTTCAGCTGCTCTCTCTTGTGCCTGGCCGGTTGGCCCATGCCTATTCTTTTCTCCCCTGTGCTGCCGGCGCTCCGTGGCTGCCCCTCTCCTGAACTTGCCACCACTCAGGTAATGAGGAACTGTGGGTGCAGCCAGCCTTGGAGATGCCGAAAAGACGGGACATCCTTGCGATCGTCCTCATCGTGCTGCCCTGGACGCTGCTCATCACCGTCTGGCACCAGAGCACCCTCGCTCCTCTGCTTGCTGTGCACAAGGGTGAGCCCTGTACTCAGCCCCACCCCACACCCTGCCACACCCCACCTCCAGTCTCACTCCCACAACCACAGCCCAACTTAGATGATAGTGGCCACAGCAAAGGTAATCCAGTCTTGCTTTACACACTGAGCAGCTAGGAAGACCCTATGCATCATCTTGGTCAATGACCTTACCCTGTGGGGGTCTTGGTCCCTGTGAGAACCTAATGAAAGCTCCCAAACCCATGTCCCTGGAATTAGGTTTAATCCACTCTGGTAACATGGTGGACTCTCATTGCCCAAAGGGAGGAAGCATGTCACATGACACAGGGCCACACAAGGTGGCATGGGAGTGGGGTGGTAAGGAGGCAGTAGCATGGATATAAAGCCTTTATTGTGGGTTTTACAAGAAGAGAAATGCTAAGCAAAAGAACTGACAGGCTTAGAAGAGGGGTAGTTTGGATGTTAGGATGGGAGGACGACTTGGCTTCTAGTTGTCCTGTACATATCCCTAGAATGATTTAGGGCAGGGATATACCCGCTCTGTGTGCAAGTTTGACCAACTTGGGTGTGGATTCTGCCTTGGTTGGTTTGACTATGAAAGAATATTTGCTGCAGTTCTTTCTTATTTCCTGAGAGGAGGGGTCCCTTCTCAGGTGCTAACCTAGAGATGTCAACACAGCCTCAAATATAGAAAAGCAAATTGGGCACCCGTGGCTCATGCCTGTAATCCTAGCTTCTCAGGAAGCTGAGATCTGAGAATCATGGTTCAAAGGCAGCCCAGGCAGGGAAGTCTATGAGTCTCTTATCTCCAATTAAGCAGCAAAAAGCTGGAAAGTGAACTATGGATCAAGAGTGCTGGCCTAGAGAAAAGTAGCTCAGGTACAGCACCTAGATCCTGAGTTCAAACCCTGGTGTTAGCACACACACAAAAAAAGATTTTAGACAAACATGAGCAATACTAATATATACACAACAGAGATCAAATCCAATTCTGTGATCTCTCAGCAGAGGGGAGAGGGAGAATAGGGATTTTGGCCTGCTTTGTGTTGGGAGATTATTTTGGGATTGCTGAGGGTCAAACCCAAGGCAAATGTTGTCCCCTTGAGCTACATCCCCAGCCTGTATAGTGCTTTCAGACATTTGAAGGAAAGTATCAGTTTCACCTTCTTCTGCTTTGGAAACTCTCACTAGCTAGAAGCAGCAGGCATGGAGAAAGAAGTCCTACCAAAAATGAATGGAAGAACTGGGAATGGAGTCACCTTGTCCTACTTCTGAGTCCAAGGTGGACTTTTTCTCACACACCTGAACTCCCTATAGTCCTCCACATCTGCTACCTGTCATCCTTTAGCTTCTAGTCTCATTGCTATCCTCTCCCCTACTCCCACCCACATACACATAGATACAACACTTTCATATCACGATCCTCCCATTGCAAAATGTATCCACTTACCTAGGAACACAGAAAATAGGAAGACATCAGTGATGATAACAGTTCTGAGGTAATGCCTAGAAATCCACTGTAGCCAATGACTCCAAGTAATTGGCTATAAGCTATATCTACACATCATAGTCCATGCTTTGCTACTCTATACAGTGAAATGCTACATCCTGGAACCCCCGCCTTCCTAAAGCTTCCTCCCAACAGGGCCAAGTTCAGGATTGCTGCAACCATACTGTCTGTGCCGGGCACAACTGGACCTTTCAGCCATTTGCCATCCTTCCCTTCTGTACTACTACTCTGTACTAGCTACTCTGACACTTGCCAGTTTAGAACCACTGTTATCTTGAAAATGCATCATTTTGGAGGGGTTAGAATATATAAAATGACACATCATTTCGGTTGCTTTCTTGGCAGAACAAGGATCAGAGACGTCAAGTAGTTTTCTCAGCAAATTGCCCTTCTAACTCCCCAGAGCATGCAAAGAGGGAAGTTAAATGAAGTTAGAGTCACAAGGAGACCTCCAGGACTCAGTGTTATAGAAAGGTTGAAACCAGTGAATAGGGCTGAGTTCGGGCTGCTAGGAGTCCCCACACACAGCCAGGTATAAGTGCTGTTCCTGTTCACAAAGGTCTGGGTACTGGTTCTATGTCTGCCTTAATACTCAGTGTCTAAAATCTTACTAACTACTGAAAAATAAAATATCTACATTCAGAACTCTAGACACACATTCATCCTTCCTCAACCTTACATCTCCAGAAAACCCCTTTTGATGAGCTGCAACTCTTCTGGTCTCCTTGCCATCTCCCACAAATACCCTGCACCCCACCACATTGTGTCTATGGCATGGATACAGGCTCCCAGCTCTTGCTGTCTACCTACTACACCACTGGCTTCTGAACACTCCTTAGGAGCTAAGAGCCACGTCACCATCTGGGTTCATCTCTACTAGACTCCACACATCCTCACATCCACATGCTGCTAATGGTAGGGATGGAAAAGAAGGGAACAGAATGGCCACAGCCAGGCATTCTCTCTGCCATGACACTTCAGCTTCTCATGTGACTTTCCCTTTTCATCCATGCTGGAAGTTCATGGAGCCACTAGTGCCCTTTTAGTTGCACCTTAAGGTAGTGATACTAACTGCACCTGGCAGCACTCAAAGCCTCACGTGTATTAATTCATCAGTGCAAGCAATTACCCAATGAAGTAGATGTATTTTGGGGGCATTACTGGGGCTTGAACTCAGAACCTCAAACTTTCTAGGCAGGTGCTCTACCGCTTGAGCCACATCCTCAGCCCCTTCTGCTTTATTCTTCAGGTAGTATGAAGCCAAAGGAGACTTCCATTCTCCCAACCTTTAGCTTACCACATAGCTGAGATCACAGGTGTGCACCACCTGGCTTATTGGTTGAGAAGTGTATCTGGCTATCTTTTTGCCTGACTAATCTTGAACCTCAATCTCCCAAATCTCCACCTCTTGGGAATTTGGGAATACAAGGATTATCCATCAAGTGTGTCCAGTAGATCCCCTTGAGAATCTGGGATTCCAGGGATTAGCCACCAAGTGGGTCCAGTAGCTCCAATGTATAGTTGCTGAACTCAAGGTAGCAAAAACTAAGTAACTTTCACAAGAGAATATAGTTAGGAAAGACAGAGGGTAGGGTCTGAGCCCTCAGAGTTCTAAGTCTGCCTGCCCTCTGTCCATTGCCACCACCACTGAGATAGCATGTCAGTGGTGAGGACCATGGCTGGTTGATACATGAGGCACTTTGGACAGACAGAACTTGGAGAGTAGGGACTCACTACCATGCCAATAGGCCTCCTTTAAGAGGAATCTTAATAGGATAGCTAGATTTCCCATCAGGATGTCAGGTGTGCAGGAGATTTTTTTTTAAAAACCCTTGGTTACTAGGGATGGCCCAGCTGGAGCAGGTGGCCATGTCCAGGGACCAGGCTTCTGCAAGGTGTCCACATGGCATCCTCTAAGTAGAAGCAGGAAGCAATATCCTGGATGCCAGGGCAGCTGGACAGTTAGTGTCCAGCCAAGTGAGCATGTCCAGGAAGTCCAAGAGGAGGACTGACATCAAACCAGTGGGAAAACTTAGGTAGCTATATACCAAAATAGAGGAATATTTAAAATCTGGAATAACACTCAAAATTCAAAAACTAAATTGACTGTATGGGAAAAATCTACCGGGATAGAATACGGCAGTTAAATATTAAGTTATGCTCCAAGATTTAAAGAACTGATTGCATAAGACCAGGGGAGAGCAGCCCTGCTTCACTAGATTTTTCATGAAGAAGCTGGGGCAAGTTAATGTAGGTTCTTTTTGGATCCAGAGCATGCCACAGCCAGGACTCTCACCCTGCCCTCCAGTTTTGTGGCATCCATACCACAGAACATACCAATACCTCTTGGCCAGCTTCACCAGAAAGACAAGGGTCAGGGCACTTTGTCATATAAAGCTGATACGTTTTGAAGCTGAGGATTCAAGCTTGGAATGTGGCTGCATCCAAACATGGAGAGAGCTGTCAGATGTGAGGAGATAGAAGAGGTTATTTCTGTGTCATCCCAAGAGTTGGAACTAGGAAAATACCAGCGAGAATTCCAAAGATGCAAAGCTCAAACCTCATCCCTAAAGGTCCATTACCTTGAGACTGGAGACCTGATGTTAGTCCTGCAGAGGGGTCCGAAGAGAGGGCAAGCTTAGCTGGGCAGGGGGCCTTGAGCCTAGCACTAAGGACCAGAGCCAGGCCAGTGCTTTTGTCCCCACACTGCCCCCCTTCTCCACCTCCACAGATGAGGGCAGTGATCTTCGACGTGAGGCACCGCCTGGTGCGGACCCCAGGGAGTACTGTATGTCAGACCGCGACATCGTGGAGGTGGTGCGCACAGAGTACGTTTACACCCGGCCGCCTCCGTGGTCTGACACACTGCCCACCATCCACGTGGTGACGCCCACCTACAGCCGCCCAGTGCAGAAGGCCGAGCTGACACGCATGGCCAACACGCTGCTGCACGTGCCCAACTTGCACTGGCTGGTGGTGGAGGATGCGCCACGCCGGACCCCGCTCACAGCGCGCCTGCTGCGGGACACCGGCCTCAACTACACTCACCTGCACGTGGAGACGCCCCGCAACTACAAGCTGCGAGGCGATGCCCGCGATCCGCGCATCCCCCGGGGCACCATGCAACGCAACCTGGCCCTGCGCTGGCTGCGAGAGACCTTCCCACGGAACTCCACCCAGCCGGGCGTGGTGTACTTTGCAGATGATGACAACACCTACAGTCTGGAGCTTTTTGAGGAGGTGTGAAAGGGTCGGAGAGGAGGGAGGTGTGGGGCAGGTAGCTGGAGGGAGGACACTGGTGGAGGGGAGCAGAGATGCAAAAGGAGCTTTCCAAGAGGGTGCTAGCTATAGTGAAGACACAGACACAGGGAGCGCCACTGGGCTGGGTGCAGCTAACAGACAATCATGGAAAGGAATGGGGAAAAAACCCGAGTGCATTGGGAGTGTAAGGGGCACAAAAATGGGCTGGGAATGTGGCCTAGTGGTAGAATGCTTGCCTAGCATGCATGCATGAAGCCCTGGCTTCCATTCCTCAGTACCACACAAACAGAAAAAGCCAGAAGTGTGATCAAGTGGTCAAGTGCTAGCCTTGAGCAAAAGAAGCTCAGGGACAGTACCCAGGCCCTGAGTTCAAGCCCCAGGACTGGCACACACAAAAAAAGGCACAAAAATGAAGGGACACGGGGTGAATAAATGTAGCCATGATGCCACCAGACACTATGTTGAAAATGAACTATACAACTTGTGGGTAGGGGTGGGAGGGAAGACTGGGAGTGAGGGAGGCGTGACTGTCCAAAAAGAAATGTACTTTTTCTGACTTATGTAACTGTAACCCCTCTCTCTGTCCATCATCTTTATAATAACAATTTTTTAAAGAGAAAAACACCCTGCATATTAAAGGGAAAACAGGTGAGGTTTAGAACTACCAAACCATAGTCCTGGCTTTAAAGGTTTTAGGAATGAGGCCTTTAAATCATTCATCCCTTGGATGAAAGGATTTCAATTTCCTTGAGCTTCATGCAAGTCAGGGAAGGGGGTCATTTCAGATTTCAGACTGTAAAGTCGCAAGATAGAGATTTCTTGCAAGGGGGGAAAACAGCAGCAGGGGCAGGTAGGCAAGTTGATACCACTGGTCCTAGGCAAGTCTTGCTCACAGCCTCAGAGAGATTCATCTGCCTGTGAGTGGCACCATGTCTGCACACAAGACTGACTGGACCTCCCATGGCTTCATATGCCAGTCAATGGATTTCACCTCCTGTGGAGCTGGGCAACAGGCCTGTCATTAAATTCAGGTGTCCTGAATCTAGCTCTTCTTCTTATAGATGCGCAGCACCAGGAGGGTATCCGTGTGGCCTGTGGCCTTTGTGGGTGGCCTTCGGTATGAGGCCCCACGGGTGAATGGGGCAGGGAAAGTGGTTGGCTGGAAGACAGTGTTCGACCCCCACCGACCATTTGCAATAGACATGGCTGGCTTTGCTGTCAACCTGCGGCTCATCCTGCAGCGAAGCCAGGCATACTTCAAGCTGCGTGGAGTAAAGGGGGGCTACCAGGAAAGCAGCCTCCTTCGAGAACTTGTCACCCTCAATGACCTGGAACCCAAGGCAGCCAACTGCACCAAGGTAAGAACCCCTGCTGATCTGACAGCTCTAATAGGTGTCCCTAAGTCCATCCAGATCCTCTACAGATCCTTCTTGCCTGCAATCCCCACCTAGGAAGGCAGTCTATCACCTGTAAGATGGCCACAATGAAGGCAGGTAGGGAAATGGGAGGGATGGCCGCAAGGAAATCCTAACAAAGGACTGCCCTTCCATCAGAACAGCTGTGCTCCACAACAGCCTCCCAGCTGAGCATTGTGGCACGCATGCATATATGCATGTACAAGCACACACACACATACCTGCAAAGACATGCACAAATGCATGCAGACTCATAGACACATGCATGTGTGGTTGGGCAATCTTGGGACTTGTCTATTTTCTGTAATTCTGGACTTCTCATTCCCAAGAGATGTTTTGAATGCATCACATGCATAAGCAATAGTGAGGAGGTAGATGGAAATAAAGAACAATTCAGAAAATCTTGATGAAACAAGTACAAAAAGGAGGGGCAGGAAAAATATTTTAGGGGTGTAGGAGGGAGCTGGGAGATGGCAGAGTTGGGGACCTGCTCCATTTCATTTCCTGTCTCTGGTCACACAGATCCTGGTCTGGCACACCCGGACAGAGAAGCCAGTGCTGGTGAATGAGGGGAAGAAGGGCTTCACTGACCCCTCGGTGGAGATCTGAGCCTCTGGATGCAGGTAGGAGGGAAAACCAGGGCAGGCTGTGATCTGGGCAGTGCAACATCAGGTTTGGACATAAAATCCATCTTGATCCTTAGTTGTAGAGGACTGGGCAAACATGGAGAAGAGGTATAGCCAGAGTTCCCTTCTTCTTGTGTCACTTGATGGTTAGCAGATGCCAGCCTTCACCCATACTGCTGGCTCCTTCTGCCAGCAGAAGGCATCACCTTCCCAGCAACTTAATATTATAGTCACAATAGCCATGATGCCTGGACACAGCAAAAGACTGCCATTCAGGTTTTCTCGCAGATCCTTTAGCTTCCCCGTTCAGTTATGTGGCTGTGAGGGAACCACTTTCTGCCCCACATCAGCAGCCCTGTGGTTCTCCACTGTGGTTCTCCTGGGTGCTCTAGCACCCAGGCAACTAATTATTCTGTTTTGCCAGACCATGCTACTTTGTGCCTCGATTCCTTTGGCTTCAAAATGGGTTTCCAGGCACTCTGAGAACAATGTATGGCACATAACAAATCCTTTGTTTGTGTTATTTTTATTCAAGTTTTTAAATTCTTCTGAGACAGGCCACAGGTCTACCTACAGAAGTAAAACAATGATGTCCAAGGTGACACTGGAACAAGTGACTTTTGCAGGGTGACTGGCCAATCCATGGCTTTTTGAGCTTTTTTTTTTTTTTTTTTTTGGTCGGTCATGGGGCTTGAACTCTGGGCCTGAGCACTGTCCCTCAGCTCTTCAGCTCAAGGCTGGCGCTCTACCACTTGAGGTACACCACCACTTCTGGTTTTTTGGTGGTTTATTGGAGATAAGAATTTAACGAACTTTCATACCCGGGCTGGCTTTGAACCGCGACCCTCAGATCTCAGCCTCCTGAGTAGCTAGGATTACAGGCATGAGCCACCAGCGCCCAGCTTGAGGAGCATTTTTGTAACCTTATCTTACCTCTTTAAAGCACCTTTTACCCAGGACTCCTTACTTTAGGTCTTGTCCCATGGAGATGAGCACTCAAGACATTGGAGAGACACCTTTTCCTCTGGCACCAGGACATCTGCAGTTACCTTGTCTATAGGGCATAGCTACAGAGGTCACTCTGCCTAAACTTAAGGTCACAGTATACCCTGAATTTACCAAACTTATCTGGCCAGTGTCACTTAGCACCAATCAGTTCATGGCCTTATTCCTAGTCTTCTGCCCTTACTAAGTCACTGGAGGAACTCTCCCTATCTGCCCCTTCCAAACTCTCCCTATCTGTCCCTGGCCCTGTCCAGGCCAGGCCTGGTGGCTCATGTATATAATTCCAACTACTGGGAAAGCAGAGAGAGGAGGATCATGGATTGTGGCCAGTTTGTCTCTATCTTAAAAGAAAATAAGCCATGGAAAGACTTGGAAAAAGTTATATTAAGTGAAGTAAGCCAGGCCCAAATAACTAGTATATGTCTGAGTCAAGCAGAAAAGGTCAGATAAGTTGATGTTAATGTTAGGGAAATGAACCCTAAGATATGTATTCAAATGTTTTTTTTCTTTCATGCGATTGTTTTTAACATATTTATAAGATTATTTCTTTGTTGCTTTGTATGTCCCTCCCCCATGGTATAACCCCTGCTTTCACTGTATTTGATGTTGGTATAATTTGTGGAGGGGAAGGGGAAAAACAAATCGTTTAAATAAGGATACAGAAAAAAAAATAAGGATACAGGTGGACCCATTGCAGCAATGAGATATACAAGTCATCATGTCAAAAACGAACTTTACAACTTTGGCAGGGGGGCGGGGAAGGTGGGAGGACTGGGTGGGGGGGGCTGGAGGAGGATGGGAAGGGATGGGAAGGGGAAACAAAGGAGGAGGCAACAATGCTTGATAAGAAATGTACTCATTATCTTGCCCATGTAATTGTAACCCCTCTGTACAGTATTTTCACAATAAAAAAAAAAAGCCATGGAGTTGAAAATTAAAAGAACTTTAGCTCAAGGCTAGGCAAAAGCATAAGATTCAGTCTGAAAAATAAACTGAAAGCAAAAGGGTCTAGAGGTGTAGCTCAAGTTATAAGAGCATTCACCTTGCAAATATGAATTCAATCCCCAGTGCCACCAAAAAAAAGAAAAGCAAAGCATTTCTCCAAAGAGAATCTAGGATTCCAACTTTGAGGAACTCCTGGTAGAACTCATGAGTACCAGTATGCCACCCTGGCCATTCCTTCTCTGCCCTGCCCTGCCCTGACACTGCTGTCATTTCTCCTCTCCACACAGGACCCTTCTTCTCAGACCCTGATCTCGGCCTCCCATCCTATCCCCTCAGCTGATGGTCCCTCCAAGGCAGACTCCTAAGGAACCACCATCACCTCCTTTCTATTCTGGGGGCTTCTAAGAGAGCCCAGCTTGAAGCCAGGACAAAGGACAGAGAATTTTAAGCACAGAAATCCCAGACCTGGTGTTCTCTCCATCTAACATGACCGTGGGGCCTGAGGCAACTGAGGGCTGGGGCGTCCCAGCTGCCAGTAAAACCTGTGCCCAGCTCACCTTCCTAGAAGCTTCCTGCATGGATGGGACCATGACGAGTGAGCAGCAGCTGCAGGTACTTATGTCTGCCCTGGAGCGATGCTGGGGCTAGGGAGGGAGGTGTGACGACCCCCCACTGTCACATAGAGCATGGCACCTGCTGGTTCCCTGCTCCTGGGCCCAGCCCAACCACACAGCATGCCCAGCCAGGGAATTCTGCAGACCAGAGAGCAGCCTGGGGCATCTCTGATGCTCCACCCCCTCCTCCTCAGCATCTGCTCTTCCTGAGAGCTGCTCCCAACTCAGACATACCTCTGGCTCTCCTCTGGTTCATGTTTACAGAGCATAAGGCTGTCTTGGATCCCAAATGGCGCCCAGTGCTGCATGGGAGAGCCTAGGCCTGTCAATGGGCCCCTCTGTACCTCAGGCTGGGTGGGAGCAGAGCCCCTTCCTCTCGCCCGTGTCCCTCAAGCCTTCTCCTCCTCCAACACTGGCAAGGAGGTGGGCCTAGAGCCAGCACAGGTCACCTACGGACCTGGACCAAGAACCATGTGACCCCACTGTCCACACACTGCCTCCTCACTACCCCTGGGCTGCAGGGCCCCTTGCTTGGCCTAAACCAGGAAAATGTGACACTCTCTTCCTGGAGCAAACCACAGACCTCAGGTGGTGGGCAGGTGGAGAGCTCTCCAGCCAGGAGAGTGGAGGGAGACCAGGGTAGTCCCTAACTCTCTCCTGCCCTGGTTTTGGCGAGAATTGGATCAGCAGAGGGATTTGGGGAAAGGCAAAGGGTTAGTTGGACCCTGGGAGGAAAAGACATCTGAGCACACACTGCTTAGTAAATCATTCTATTTTAAACACAAAATGGGAAAGAAAATCTCCTTTATCCCTAAGTTGGGAGCATGAAGAGCCAGCCAGCCCCATGTCTAGCTTCCACCTCTCCACCCCAAGGGAGAGAAGTATGCCTGGAGCTGCTGCCCTCCACCGTGGGGGCATCTCCCTGGTCACACAGGCCCTGAAATGGCCCTGGGTCAGGCTGCATGGCACCCCCTGGTGGTGATCTCATTCATGCTCCTGGAAGTTGGAAGCACAATTTTTCTTCCAAGTGGAGGAAAAAGGAAAGGGCCAAGCCCACTGAAGAGGTGTTTATTTTTTAACTGCTAACAGCCCCGCCATTCCATTAAAACTCACAGGACAATTCCGAGGGACATTTAGAACCCACCCAGGGGTGGATGGGTGGGTGGTGGGATTCAGTCCATAGATCTAACATTCACAGTATAGCATTGGCTGCCTATTTTGAAACAGGTTTAACTTCCCACAGTACTCATGAAACCATCCGAAGGAATCAAATCCCAAAGCCACCTGGTAGGACATTTTCCCCAACCTCTGGATGTTGCTTCGGAAAGTGGCCTGATGGCATCAAGTGGGGTGACATGGGAGGAGGTGGCACAGGGCATCCATCAGATGAGTGCGCATTCTACTGCCTCACTCATGGAAGCTAGTCCTGAAGGCCAAGGTCAAGTTGGCTGGTCTAAGGCAGACTTCTTAGCCAAAAACCCAGGGCTCCTTTTCAGGAAATTGATAACGAACAAAAAATGGACTTTTTTTTTTTTGGCAGATGCTAGTTCAGTTGTTTTCGCCTAATATCCTCTCTTAGCTGCATGTGTATTTATTTATAATTATAACTCTGATGGACTGCAGCCTTCATCTTTGTGCAGAACAAGTTTGTTACACACCAGATTTGGGTCCGTAACAACAACTTGTTCTCCAAACCCAGTCTTCTCCTGCTCCCCCGCTGGCACCGAGGAGTGAAGCTAGGAAGTCCTGAGGGTAGAGGCTGGGGTAAGGGTGGAGCCCATGAAGCTGCACCATCTGGTCTTCTGTTTTAATTTAACTGTATTTAATTTCTTTTTGCAATTAAAAGTCAAATGTGGTTTTTAACGGTCCTAATCCTCTTCAGCTCTACCTATTTTTTTTCTTTCGTTAATTTAATTAACCAACAAATATTTAGTGGGTGCCTACTAAGGGCAGAGATTATTCTAGAGCCAGCAGAGAAATGAATAACAGAGCCCTTGTCTTCATGAAGCTTACCCTCCCTGGAGAGGAAACTCCCGACAAATAAACTTTAGCATGTCACAGTCATCTACTGTAAGGAGAATGTAGAGGAATAGAGGAGGTGGGGCTTAGCAGGGAAAGGAGTTGAGGTTCAACACAGAGTGGTCAAAAAGACCTCCCTGATTGGGCTGGGAAGGTGGCTCAGTGGTAGAGTGCTTGCCTTGCATGCATGAGGCTGTGAGTTCGATTCCTCAGCACCCACATAAGCAAAAAAAAGAAAAAGAAAAAAAAAGACCTCCCTGATAAGATGACCTGGAACAGAACAGCAACTACTAACATGTAGCTCCCTGGATCAGAGCATCCTGAGGAGAGAATTCGTGAATGGGTGGATGAGTGTTTTACATGGGTCACACCTATAATCTTCGCTACTCTAGGGACTAAGGTCTGAGGATTGAGGTTCAAAGCCAGCCTGGGCAGGAAAAATTGAGATGTTTATCTTCAATTAACCAGCAAAATGCTAGAAGGAGAGGTGTGGTTCAAGTGGTAGAGTACCAGCTGTGAGTCAGAAAAACTGCATCAGAATGGCAGGTCCTAAGTTCAAGACACTCTCTCTCTCTCTCTCTCTCTCTCTCTCTCTCTCTCTCTCTCTAATGGAGGTCATGGTGGGATGAGAAATGAGGTGGGCATGCAAGGACCAAATATCCTGACACAGAGAGAAACCAGGGTAAAACTTCGACTGTGTGAAAGAAGCCAATGGAAGCTGTTGGGGGTCACAGCTCAGAGGACCAACATGACCTGATTGATCTTTAAGAAGAACCACTCTGCTTCTGATGCTGTTGACAAATAGTACAGATGAGGGAGGGCTCTTGCAATACTCCAGATAGGAGATGATAGTGGGTTGGATGAAGGCACAAGCTTTGGAGCAAAATGACATGTTATAAATTCTGGATGTTTGGAAAAAGTAGAGCCAGGAGGATTTGCTAAGGAATCGGATGTAAGATACAGGAGGAACCAAAAAACAAAAATCTGAAACACAGGAAATTAGAATTTCTTTTCCTTCATATGAGACAGAGTACAGGAGGGGTCATTGAGGACAAGTATATTTCTGTTTCAGATGCTTATTAGACAGATGCTTAAGAGACAGTAAGGGGCAGTTAGCTGTGCACACATCTGGAGTGAGGATGAGACCGACATTGGACATATTAGTGTTGAGGCTATTAAGAAACCCTCTCACAGTGAGTTTGGACAGAGGAAAGCGTGAGCTGAGACCCCCAACACTAACTGGTTGGTATACGAAACAGAGATTGAGCCCTACTATATTAGAAAAAAGATCTGTGTCAATTCTGGAGAACAAGTTCTGCCAATAGATGCTTTCATGGGGAAGCAACTTAAAACAAGACTAAGCTGCTGAAGAAGACTATTCCTTATAGGGTCAATGCATCCCTGCTCAGGCTCTCATAAAACTGCAATTCAGGTAATTCTCTTACAAAAGGATTCTCTGTAAGATTCTCTTAAATTCCAATTCCTGTCACATGTTTCCAACAGTGTCTGGTTTACATACAGCTCTGCAGAAACCCACTCTGAGGTTATACAGACCAAGTGACACTGTGACACTGCTCTCTGGCTCAGGCCATACTCAAGTATCCTTCAGGTCATCCTCGTCTTAACCTGATGCTTGCTATTCCCAGGCAGCTCAGAAAGAGCGGGTGAGTCTGGACAACACTGAGACTTAGCCCATCTTTCTCTCCAGCCATTGTTCACAATCTCCAATAAGCTCCATTTCAGGCTGTCATGGTGGTGCACTCCCATTAGCTCAGCACTCAAGAGGATCACAAGTTTGAGGCTAGCTTGAGCAAAACTGAAATGTTCCAGGCCAGTCTGGGCTACAAAGCAAGACCCCCACGCACAAAAAAAAATTGGGGGGGGGGGAGTCCGGTCATGTGGCCTGAACTCTGGGCCTGGGCGCTGTCCCTCAGCTCTTCAGCTCAAGGCTAGCGCTCTACCACTTGAGCCACAATGCCACTTCCGGCTTTTTTTCTTTTAGCTTATGTGGTGCTGAGGAATCGAACCCAGGACCTCAGGCATGCAAGGCAAGCACTCTACCTCTGAGCCACCTTCCCAGCCCCACAAAAAAAAAATTTAAAGCTCAATATTTCTGCCCTGAGTGAGCTCAGCAACTTTGGCTGTCACTGAACAAACTGGGTTCTAGGCTCAGTGGCTGCACATTACCATGCCCCCTGACACAGATCTAGACCTTAGCCACAAGCAGGTACCAGTCTGAGAGGCTCTCAGCCCACTCTTCCCCAACCCATCTTTGCTGGCTGTGTGGGCACTATGCTCAGGTGTGTGCTATTTTACTTTGACTATTACTCAAGATAATGAACATCAGATGTTCTGCGCCAAACTAATAAGTAAACTCACAGATGGCAGTCTGAGCTGCCCAGCAGATCCTAGCACTACCCACTAGCAGGAGACTAGATTCATACTTGACCTTTCCTCATCAAGGGACTTCTAATGCAGTGACATTTCTAGGAGAATTGAGGTTAGGAGGGATAATAACACCAGCGGGGGGGTATCCATAGGTACTAGAAGGGTGGCACTGGACCCTGAGTGCCACCTTCTCCCTGTGGCTTAGAGTAACACAGACAAGACTGGAGACACTGGCAATAAGCTTTTGATTGAACTGTATTGCATTATTGCCATTCAAGACAGCAAACCTGAGACAAACCACTGAATCTCTAAAGTAAGAGCCTCCAGTTTGGACATTCAGACAGAAGGCTAGCTCTCCTCCCTGTTGCTTGGTCACCAAGAAAAGAGTCCATTGAGCTGCAGGCAAGGCCTGAGCTGAGCCTGTAGGCCTCGTGGCTACTCTAAACTTCTAAGATAGACACCATCTGTCCAATACCACTTATCTGGGATTTTCCCTCCCAAAGTACTGATGTGGAGTGGTTTCTTCTGGTACCCACAATCCGTCCTCAATTAGTATTCCTCCTCGTTGAGTACAAATGCAAATGCTCTAATTCAGAAAATAAGTGCCTGAGTATTTTTGTTTCTCTTAAGCTCAGTTTGTCCTCCTACCAGATACACTGAGAAGGGAATGAGGAGAAAGCACGTGTTTCTCAAGTGGAGTTTCTTCCAGGATCCCAGTGTGTGATGAAGAATGAGTAAAGTCAACCAGGGTGAGAGACACCCACTTCTCTATCTTCTACAAATAGTGCCAAGTGCACAATTTCAGGAGCAAAAGAGGCTATGGTAGCCACAGCCACACCCTGCTGGAAAGCCTACCTGTGTCCAGCATGCAGCCAGCAAGGCATCAACTTTCAGAGCAGGGTGCCACCTACCCAGCTTCAGCACCTTTTCTGAGAGCCTCAGGTACTCCCTCCCTACCCACCTTGGTGATCTGACTAAACACGCCCATCCTCTCAGAGACATCCATCCAGCCTCCCTGGAAGATCAGGGAAGCAGCAAAAGGTGCGATCCATCATGCCAGACTGAGAATCATCTAGATATGAGGAAGTCCTCCATCGTAGGCCACCCCACCTTTCTCTTCAGTCACCCAGGTGGGGGGCTGGCTGTAGTTCTTGGCTCCCTGAAGTGGTTACTTAAAGAGGCTCTTCTGTAGAGCAGGGCAGGAGGGACTGGAGACTTCTGCTCAGTGAACGTACTGGTTCCTGCCCAGGTGGGGGGTGTCAGTGGACTGGACCACAGGGCCTGCCGTCATCTCCTCAAAAATGATGACCTGCAGGAGAGAGCAGGACAGGGCTATGAGGTCTGTCCTGGAACCAGATAAGGTTGCTGTGAGGCATACGGTTGAAAGGGAAGGGTTTAGAAGCCCAGCTAAAGGAAACAGGGACTAAGTAGTCAACACCAAGGAAGAAGAAAGAATAGGTTGGTTTGGCACCTGTCCTCTCCCCCAACCCTGACCAAAGCCTCGAGGGAAGCAGGTGGATGCCAAGGAGGGCAGGGATGGTAAGAGAGTCAGCAGGAGAAGGATGTTGGCAGTGTTCCCACCTGGTTGATTCCTTTCTTCAGCCAGACACCTGGGAGGTAGAGGGTCTCCTGGGGTCCAATGTTCCAGTAACGTCCAAGGTTTTGGCCATTAATGAATACAACCCCCTTCTCCCAGCCCTTCAAATAGAGTAGGAAGAGTATTAGTTTAACATGAGAGCCATCGAAGACAGTCACAACAGTAAGACCCAGACACAATTCCATGTGTTCTCCACTCAGCTTCCCAGAGGCAGACATTTTGGCAGCCATAAAAGTTAACAAGGGTGTGCTCTCTGCATCCCACCCCACTAGCTCAAGGACTTCCAAACTCACCCCAGGGGTAGGAATTTGGGCCCCAAGAAGCACCATTAGATAATCTTGTGCTTTGATCTTACTCCCTCCCAACCTAGGGAGGCCCCAGAGCCCTGTCAGATAGGGACACATAAGGACAAGAAGGTTTTTGGGCCCAGATACTAACAGAGTGCTCCAGCTAGACCAAAAACAGTGGCTTAGCCTAAGAGACCTGGGAAAGAGAGATAAATCAGAGAGGAAAAGGGGGCCCTTACAAACCTCCATCTTCAGGAACGTGTCCAAAGGGGAAAGGCCAACCGACAAGCCACCCAAGAAGAATGCAGGGTATGTAGGAGTTTGTGGGAGAGTGTCCCATTTGTTGATGTCCAACCTAAAAGTGGGACAAGGATTGAGAAAGGGAAGAAGTGGTTTCTTCATGGTTCCAGGCCTGTATCTAAGACACAACCATCTCCATGTGCAAGGCCCTCAAACCCAACACCTCCACCACATAACCAGCACATAGGCATGGGAGAAAGGTGGCATGAAGGCATGCCTTAATCTGAAAACATGGATTCCAGTGCCAGTCCTGGGATGAGTGACTTTGGCCTCTGGATCTGTTTAGACATCTACAGGATTCTGGCTAGGAAAGCCAAGGCCCTCCTTGTTTTGCTACACATTCTCCATGAGCTCACACTCTGGCACAGGGCAGGGACCCACCTCTGAAAGAAGTTCTTTTTCATATCCAGGCTATAGATTCTGAAGTTCTTCAAGGGAGAATTATTCAGATAGAGATTCCCAATTAAGCCTGTGGGAAGGAGGAGAAGAAATATGAGCAAGACCAAAGCCAGGGCAAGAGAAGGAAGTACAGATGACCTATCTATGGCCAGGGCTATGCAAGGACAGTTCCTGGGAAGTTTCTAGGGAAAATCAATGAGTTTTCTCCTGAAGCACTTGTGTGAGAGGCTCTGCACAGAGAGTAAATCCTCACTAGAGATGCTGAAGGGATAACAAACAGCAAGACAGTATTTGCCAGGCCCTAGAATTTGACACAAAACAATGGATGTACCAGTCAGTATACAGTACGACACAGCAGAGATGTCATCATGATGAGAAGAGCCTCTGGCCCCTCTCTGCATGAAAAAGAAATCTCTGCATGACAAAGAGATGACAAAAGTCTACCTTCACAGTCACTGTTCTTAGGAGCCCAAACTAACAGACCTTGTAACTCAACCAGAAATCTTCCCCACAACCTAAGACTGAAGAAATACTTTAAGAGGATTTGAATTTAAGCAAATGGCAATGCCACATGGGTATACCTACAAACTGTGTACATTTGAATAACAACAAACCAGTGCCTTGGGGACAGAGCCAGCTACATTGGTCCTGGAGCAGCCCCCATGGTACTCCAGATGGTACAGCTGCTTAGTTGCTAAGGTGGGGATCTGGGGAGGCTGGGGAAAGTAAATAGGGTCCTCAGGCCCTGCATACGCTTTCTTACATAGCAGGTGTGCACGTGCGTGTGTGCACCCACACATGTTCCTGGAGGAGAGCTCTGTGACCGGATTCCAGAGGGTCGGGGCACCCTTGGGAAAGTTCCCACAGAAGCAAAGATTGGCATCAAGGATAAGGCAGTTAGGTCCTTCCATGCCCCAGGAGAATAAAGGGAGTGAGATGGGCCCAGGAAAGGAGGCCAAGGGAGGCACCAAGTATAGAAAAGAACAGTGAGAACTGTCTGGGAAAGGAAGGTAGGCCTGGTTGGTTCTAGAAGCTCTCTTCTGGAGAGGAAACCCATTTTAGAGCCACATTGCTTCTCTAGAAGATGTCAGAGACTGGTCAGGGAGGAGAAGTGCAAATTCCTCCACTGCCACTGGCAAACAGCTGCCAGGGAACTGGAAGTTCATCAGTCTTCCTCTCTACAGTATGGAGTAATTTGATCTGAGTTCTGTTTTATAACTTGTCTGAAACCACATTTAGATATATAGGTAAAAGAAAGGAAGAGCTAAATTAAAGCATAAAAGATCCAACAGCCAGGAAAAAAATTAAAGCGTGTAAGTGGGATATACCTAAAGGGGTGTGCCTACAAACAGCATTTTGTTACTGTATGACTGTATGCTTCCTCCTCCTCACCATAGAAACATGGCCTATGGGCTTCTCAGAGCGGAACAGAGAAAAAAAAATCAGCATGGGAACCAAAGAAGGCAGGAATCCTATGTCCTTCATTAGATTCCTGTATATCTCATTCTTAGCTCCTCACTCACCACCCCACACAGAGGCATCTTCCCACAAAAGCAGATAGCAGCCCAAAGGAGACTGAGAGCCAGTTCATGGTTCCTGTGGATTCCTCTCCTACAGATGGACATGCATACAGTATTGGCCTCACCTGGCCTCACATATAGGTTTATCCAGTCTCTGTAACCCTGCCATGGCCTCCCTAACCCAGCTCCCCCCAGGGTCTCCATGACCAGCTCCCTGCAGTGGGTCTCTTGCTACGGGCTTCCATGACTCAAGCCTTCTGCAATGGACCTCTGTGACCCAGCTCCCTCAACATGGTCTGATAAGTGCTGAAGGGATGGTCATATCTGTGAGGGGCATTGGCAGCATTTCTCTTGGTTTATGAGAGGACCTACCTTTGCGCTGGTCATCAATATTATTTCCATAATTGACTCGCCCACGATTCTCCACCAAGATCCTCAGCACGGTGTAACCCTGCCAAGAATATAGTGGCCAATAATGACCGCCTGCTAGTCCAGGCATGAGGTCACTGGTGCACCTGGGACTCTGTTTGTGGCTCTCAGTTCTTCCCTATGCTCTGAGGACAGGAGAGTCCAGGCTGGTCAGAAAGCCATACTCATCTCTCTCCATCTGCAGCTTGTGGTTAAGGAATTTCCTGTCTTCCAGATCTTCCTCTTTGACTCCCACCAAACTTTCTTGGAAACAGCTTGGGCTAGCCAACACCCACCTTCCTGAGATAACAAACCTGGATCAAGGGGATAGTAATCTTCGTCGTTTTATAGTCCAAGAAGCCAACAGACACTGTGTTCACAAATACCTGCCAAAATGAGCAGAGAGGAATGCACATGATCAACAGGAGGGAGGAAGAGAGAGACCCCTCATAGGCAACAACACAAGCATCACCCTGTGCGTGTGCCTAGAAGGAGGCTTGGAAGGTATAGAGAAAAACAAATACTGTGACCACAGCTGAAAACAAAATTACACAGCTGACAAATAGGGGTAATTTTACATACTGGCAACAACCAAGCCTAAGAGCTGAGAGAATGAAGTGCATACTATAGGACCTGTTCACTAGACAGCTCCAGCAACAAGAAAAGATATTCTTACCTGCCCCCGATCATACGCAACACCGCTGAGGATACCGGATGTGGTGATGGTGGTCTCATACAGAATGTACCCAAAGGCCTGTCCATTCCCATCATTTACTGGCAGGTTCTCCATGTTGATCGGGTTTTCAGACTTGATTGGCTACACACCAAAGACACAGGGAGGCCCAAAGGCCAGGCTGCTGCCTTAACCCTCATCCTGTTACCTGGAAGCCAGAGAGTCCTGCCCCGGAGGGATATGGGGGAAGGGAGGCAGTAGGCAGGTAGAGCTCTCATCTTTCTAACTTCTCATGGCATTAAACCTATGGCTTTCCAGAGTTACAGGAATGAGGACCAGAAAGAGGGACTGCCATTAGAAAAGGGAACTGTGCAGTGTACTAGTCTCCTGAACCTGCTGTCATTTCTGCATGGCAGTATTTCTGCATCATAGTATCCCAAGTGAGCCGCCAGAGGCGACCTCCTCTTCCACAAGGGAGAATAAGGAGAAAGAACGTGAGTCTGAGGCTGGAAGAGAATGTCTCCATCATGTCCAAGTTCTTCTTTCCCCTCCTACCTGGTGTTCCAGCACCAGCTTATTCCCTTGAATCTGAGTTCTCAGGTGAGAGAACAGACCTTAGAGTCATCCAGAGAAGCTCTGTCCTTCCCAGCATCCCATCTGAAGAGTTTCTGGGCTGCCCTCCCATTGCCTGCCCTCTCTCCCTGCCCAGGGCACTCACCTCCCCCATGTATTTAAGGGCATCCCATAGTGACAAGTAGAAAGAGGGCATCACTGGCTCGTAGGACATCTTGGGAAGAAGCTCTGGTGGGGGAGGAAGAGGGGCACCTGCAACAGAGAGACAACATGGATGTTCTCAAAGGACTCAATTGTCACCACCTGCTCCAAACTCCCACCCATGAGCAAATGCAAACAAAAGCCTCTTCTCAATGTGTGCTTAGAACGTTCTAGGGGACAAGGCCTGAGAAAGGAAGGGGCTTTCTTACTCCTCCATGAGACAGCAAGGAGTGTTTGCACCTATTAAATATAAAGGTGAAACTGGGCACCTGTGGTTCATCCCTGTAATCCTAGCTGAGAGGAGCCTGAGATCTGAGGATTGCGGTTCAAAGCCAGCCTGGGCAGGAAAGTCCATGAGACTCTTAGCTCCAACTAACCACCAGAAAACCAGAAGTGGCACTGTGGCTCAAAGTGGTAGAGCACTAGCTTTGAGCAAAGAAAAATCTCAGAGACAGTGCCTAGGCCTTAAATTCAAGCCTCATAACCAACAAAGAAAGAAGGGAAGGAAAGAAGGAAGGAAGGAAGGAAGGAAGGAAGGAAGGAAGGAAGGAAGGAGGAAGGGAGGGAGGGAGGGAGGGAAGAAGGAAAGGAAGGAAAGAAAAAGCAGAAGCAGAGAAGAGAAGAGAAGAAGAAGAAGACGATGACGGAGGAGGAGGAGGAGGAGG